CTCACTGGCTTTAGTGGTTGGTGCATAAATTTGAATAATAGTGGTATTAACTGGGCTTCCCTGTAGGCACATGGATATTATCCTATCATAGACAGGATAGTACCTCATGACTGATCTGGATATGTTCTTTTTGATGATGAATGCAACACCATTCCTCTTCAGTTTGTCATTCCTGGCATAGTAAACCATGTGGTCATCAGATTCAAAATCCCAATACCATTTCCACTCACTAATGCCTAAAATATCGATGTTTATGTGTTCCATTTCATTTTTGACAACTTCCAATTTTCCCTGATTCATACTTCGTATATTCCATGTTCTGATTTTCAATGGATGTTTATAGCTGCTTCTATGAGGACTCCAATTGCCAGATTTTGGGTGAGCAACCAAGTGTGTTAACAATTTGCACCACCCAGAAACTTCAGTTCCCATAATATGTTCCGAAATTATTTCTCTGTTAATCTGCTTGGCAGTCCCCATGTCATCCTACCTCTGAGACCTAGGCCAGTCCCCTCCTGAGAAAAAAGAGGGAAATGCAAATATTTTCTGAGTCCCTTTAATGTGCTAGAGACTATCCCAGGCACACTGACATATGCTGCCCCTTTATATGGGCAATGAATAAGGAAGACTGTAGAAAAGTCAGTGCATTTGAATTATGGTGTTGGAGAAGAATGTTGAATGTACCAAGGACTGACAGAAGAACAAACTCATCTGTCTTGGAAAAGAATACAGCCAGAAATATTTTGGTGGCCAGACTTTGATTCTCATACTCTGGACTTGTTGTCAGGAAGGACCAGTCCCTGGAGAAAGATACCATGCTTGGTAAAGTGGAGGGTCAGTGAAAAAGAGGAAGACCCCCAATGAGATGGATTGACACAGTGGCTGCATCAATAGGCTCAAATAATAATAATAATAATAATAATAACAATGAGAATGAAATGGCACAGGACCAGGCAGTGTTTCATTCTGTTGTGCACAGGGTTGCTATGAGTTGTAACCAACTTGATGGCAGCTAACAACAGCAACATCCCTTTACATCTTCACAGCAGTTGTGCAAGGCTCTCTATCCCCAATATACTGTATTTATATGCATATAAAATGTGCCTGAAGCTCACTGAGAATAAGGACATTTCCCAAGGAGCAAGGGTGTGACACCTGCTTAGTCTGGTCTGCAAACCTGATGTTATTAGCAATGCACTCTGAAACTTACCAGGTTTGAAGTACAGTTTTTAACTTCAGCTGAGTCTGTGATCTACTGTTTGCTGGCCAACTTCCTAACATCCTGTGATTTGCCTTGGCTCTGTGCTTTCATGTTTAGAGTCTCTCACTGTGGTTTCTTGAACTTTCTGTTGCCAATAAGCCTTTTGGGAAAGAGCAGACTCTGAAGTGATACCTGGGTTTAAAATCAATTTGGCCACTAAATAGCTTGAGCTAAGCAAGTTTCTTAACCTCTCTGAGTCTCAGCTTCTTCATATTTAGAGTACAATTATAAAACCTACTTCATAGAGAAGGCGCTCTGGTGGTATGGTGGTTATACATTGGGCTGCTAACCTCAAGGTCAGCAGTTTGAAACTACCATCCCTTCCATGGGAGATAGATGAGGCTTTCTGCTCCCTTAAAGATTTATAGCCTCAGAAACCCTGTGTAGGCTCACTATGGGTTGGAACCGACTCTGTAGCACATAACCACCACCACCTCACAGAGTGGTACAAACACAAATCTGACTTTTAATCCTGAATTTTAAGAATTGGTTTCTCTGTCCCAGAGTCTGGACTCAATGTTTAAAACTCTGTCTTTTAAAGCTGATCTTTCTTTTGAAAAAACTGAGATGACAGTTGCAAAGGGTCTCACAGATGGCATTGCTACTGAAATCAGTATTATACACAAAATAGGGTATAATAAGGCCATTCTAGCATTTATTAAGAATAGTAGTTAGGCAACAAAGGTAGAAGAAAATAATGGCATCCTGCAGGCCTATCTTGTAATAATACCTCTTTCGGGAGGTGCCTGAACGACCACTGCTGAAGATTTTCTTCAAGCTCCATCAATGTTTTTCCTTGTTTAAAGACACACATTAATTTAAAGTTTCCTCCCACTCTCTCTGTAAATTACAGCATTCAGATGAAGTGGCAGCTGCTGGAATTAAGACACAGTTAATTGCCTATCTCTTTAATTGCAATGATAGGATTTTGACAATTTGGTAAATAAGAATAGTTTTATTTCCTCTGGCAATTTCAGCCTCTGTTGGCTTTATCCTTGCAAATGCTGAGTCACCCAATTCAGGGACAAAGGGCTGCGGTCCATCACACAAGGGAGGAGAACTATGTGTGGGGATTTGTTATTTACCTTCAATGTCCTCCTTTTTGGCAGGAACCATCCCAACACTGCTTATTTCATTGGCCCGTTAAATCTTCCCAGAGGTTTTTTGCTACTTAAATCAGCCATGAGCCTATAAGACATCCGAAAACAACAGCATAGAAGCATAGCATGAGTCCACAAGAGTAAGAAGGAAACCACAAAAGAAGGCTGCATATGTTGTGGGGCAATGGCTTCCTGCTCCTCATGGGTACAGGAGGATGTGATGCTGTAAAATGAGACACATCCTAAGTGATAGAGCAACTGGGGACTAAGCCAGACTCCAGCACTTATCTGAACTTCAGTCTAGCACTATAGCCAGTCTCAAAGCATGGCCTTTACAGGAAGTGGACTATGTTGGTTTAAAGGAATAACTTTGGGGTCACACAGACTTGGGGTCACATAGATCTGGGTTCAGATCCTAACTTAACCTTTCCTACTAGCATGTTTCCAGGGCTTATTTGCTTCCACTGTAAAAGAAATTTTGTAGTCCCCTCTTGATAGCATTGTTATAAGAATTACCAAAAATAATTTTAAATTACTTTGGCAACATGGCAGACTTATGGCATGTATTCAATAAATGGAAGATACCTTTCAAGTTATGCATCTTGGTCCCCAAACTTACATTAAAAATTTGTTTTTGCAATTATTTTCCATATTTTCCACCTAGGTTCACATCTCAGTCTTTCTCCACAGGGTCTTCCACTTCCCCATGACACTAAATCAAGGAGTCAGAGTCTAAGTTCTTAGCCCTGGAAAAATTGGACGTCATTTTCAAAGCCTCCAAGGCAGGAGAATGATGTGCACTTGCCTGCTGCCAAGGAAGGGAGGAGAGGCAAAACAAGTTTCCACAATAAAACAGTACAAATGATCATATCCTACCATGTTATTTATTATTAGCACTAAAAGCATGGCTGTGAGTCTGATCGTGTTGTAATAATCATGTTATTAGACAGCCTTTGCTCTCCCTGAGGCCACAGTAAGCTTTGATACTTTCTCAGTGTTAACTTTGCCTCGCATACTTTGGACATACTATCACCAGGGACCGGTCCCTGAAGAAGGACATCATGCTTGGCAAAGTGGGGGGGCCAGCGAAAAAGAGGAAGACCCCCAATGAAATGCATTGGCATCGTGACAGCAGCAATGGGTTCAAGCATAGCAGCAATTGTGAGGCTTACTCAAGATCAGACGGTGTTTCATTCTGTTGTACACGGGGTCGCTATGGGTCAGAACCAATTCGATGGCACTAACAACAACAACAAACATTTTTGTACTAGAATTCCTGTTCTTGTCTAAGTAGTGTGAAGAAAGTATCGGTATACAATACCTAGCATATTTTCAAGGAATGAAGGAAGAGTGAACGAGCAGAAAAATCCTATTTACAAATAAAGTTTCCTTTAAGGAAGTGGATTTTGTCCTCCTTAGCCAATATATTAAGTTTGGCTCTGCAACCAAAACAGTTGCTGTAGAGTCAACTACAACTCATGAAAACTCATGTGCGTAAGAGTAAACTTTACTTCATCGAGTTTCCAATGGCTGACTCTTTTGGAAGTAGATCACCAGACTTTTATCCTAAGGTACCTCTGGTTGGACTCAAACCTCTATTTTTTTTTGGTTTGTAACTGCTCATGGGATTAACCACTTGCACCATACCTTAGCTTCTCGAAGATAGACTTAAATAAGATAGAAGCTCACTGCTCCTTCATATAAACAAAGTCCATATCCCACCTGAATTTAGAAATAATCTGAAGAACAGATTTGATGCCTTAGATAAATGATCAAAGACCAGAAGAGTTGTGGGATGACATCAAGAACATCATACAGGAAGAAAGACAAGATCATTAAGAAGACAAGAAAAGAAGGAAAATGGGTTTCAGAAGAGACTCTGAAACTTGCTTTCCAGTGTACAGATGCTAAAGCAAATGGAAAAAATGAAGTAGTAAAAGGGCTGAATAGAAAAGTTCAAAGGTCAGCTCAAGAAGACAAAGTCAAGTATTAAAATGAAATGACAAAAAGACTTGGAGTTAGAAAACCAAAAAGAAAGAACATTTCTCAAGCTGAAAGTAAAAGTTGAAGAAAAAAATTCAAGCCTTGACTTGAAATATTGAAGGATTCTATAGGCAAAATATTGAGTGATGCAGAAAGCATCAAAAAAAAAAAAGATAAAGGAATACGCAGAGTCATTGTACCAAAAAGAAATGGATGATGTTTAGCCAATTCAAGAGATAACATCTGATCAAGAGTCAATGATACTGAAGGAGAAGTCCAAAGTATACTGAAGGCATTGGCAAAGAACAAGGCACCAGGAGGAAAACAATATGGTGCTTCTTCAGAAGGTTGGAAATAGAGATACCTTATGATCCAGCAATCCCTCTATTTGGTATTTGCCTGCAAGAAATATGAGCCATAACATGAGTAGATATATGCACACCAATGTTCATGGCAGCACTATATACATATAATAGCAAAAAGATGGAGACACCCTAAGTGCCCATCTATGGAAGAATGGATAAACAAACT